TTAGTGACATATACCACTGCCTTAAAAACTGCACTTGACGTGCAAGTGATCTCTTCTTTCATATAGAAGAACAATACTTCAGATTTCCTCAGTTCTCCTTGACTATGAATCTCTGAAGTTATCTAGAACTGTGAGGCTGAGGGAAAGATCAACAGGTGTGCAAATGGAAAAACTTGTAACAATATTTACTAATTCTTCTTCAAGGGTCTTTATGCATTCCCTTTGTGGGAAAACAGCAGATAATGTTCCACCAGAAGAAGAGAGGGCAAAGTGCTCCTAGGTAAATATGTACTGGTGGACCGTTCTTCCCTGCCAAATATTAGAATTCTAACAGGCAATTGTGTCTGTGAAAAATAGATAATAAATTTCAAGTGAATACTCTGTAAATCTCCAAACGCTGCAATCTCCTAACCTCAACCATGTCCTGAAAGAAAGGTCTCTTCATTCAGTAGGAAGGTATGAAACAAGGTTATTGGCTCCTGAGATAACACAAAAACATACACTGCATTTTCTACCCAGGGATCTCTGGTTCCATCCTATATGTTACAAATAAATGCTACATTTTCAGAATGATATGGTATTTACATATTAAAAGAGTTGTGGTATAGAAACTAATTTTCCTTTCATACGGATGTATTATTTGGAAGACCACAATTAGGAAAATACTTTGAGATATCTGCAACAACTGTAAGCATCAAGCTGAATGAACTCAATGCAGACTCTGTCCTTGAGGACTACCATATAGTATACTTCAGCATAAATGCGTTTTTGCTGCAGTATAAATATAGATTAATAGAGTGCCCATTGAAACAGTAAACTCACAATGCTAGCAGAAAGGCATTTTAATTTACAAATCTCTAGAGAGGTTTCAGTAAGAAACTCAAAAAGAAGACCTATCGGCAACTCATTCAGCCAAAAGTGATATCGCACTAAGGCTTTTAGAGATGAAAAATGCAATTCTTTGTCTTCTATGAATCTAGTGAGTGCCCTGAAGAAGACCATAAAGTGAAGAAAGACCTATCTGTCCTCCAAATTACTGTAATGGACTCATTCTTCTCCAATGATTTTTATGGAAATTACCGTTAAGCTGCAAATTTTAAAGAAAATACTCTAGAACCAGAAATGCCCTTGAGGAGGTGAGCAACTAAAAAAATCATTTTTAATGCTTGCTTACAGCATGTGAGATTCAAACCATTCCTGTTTTGCAAAAGCATAGCACAGCCCCTCTAAAAACAAAAATGAGCCATTTTAATCAGCTGATTATCATTCATTTTGCCTCTGGATCCAAATGCACAAAAAAGGAGTTAGGGGCTCAAGGGCCTGATACTTGGGTGTCAGAAGAATGGAAATGAGGGTATCTAAGAACGTCTTCCATGCATTAGAAGAACATCCCAGACTTAAAACCTCTTTCTGTACGTTGGCTTGTAGGTTTAGTCTGACTGCAAACAGGTCTATCAACAGGTCAATCTGAAAAAAGTGCTTTGGTCAGCAAAGGTTTAAAATATAGTTTTTGTTGATCTTGTCTCCTGTTGAATGAGTTTGCCTTTGTGTTCTCCTTCCAGACTTGGATTTACATGTATGATACTAAAGTTTTTTTGCTAGATAAAGTGTCAAAATGGGTTCATTTTTTCTTGCCAGTGTAGCAGACGGTCATGTCACCTGTACATACCTTTGCTACAAAACACTGCAAGGATAGGAAAGAAAAGTTTGAGAGCTTATCCTGCTGTCCCAAATGTCAATATGTTAATATGAAGGCTGGATTTGCAGACATTTCACAGGCCATGTCCTTAGAGATTTTGCCAATGCAAACAGCAATCATCTGAAAGTATTGATGGGAATTGACGACAGGGCTGGAAGGAAGTGAATACTATTAAGTCTTAGATCCTACAGAAACTTTCCCTTGCAGGGAAACACAATGGCCTATACTGAATCCAAGATCATTTTCAATAATGGTAAATTTTTTGTGCAAACTGAAGCACAAATTATTCCTCAGTTCTTCCCCAGGTCCAGGGACTAGAAAGATTGCATATGTATTGGAACACTATATTGAACCCTCCCCAAACCTGTCTTTGGGACCAAATCATTCAGATGTGGATAGGCAAAAAACAGAAGGTGGCTGATGTGCATGTCTTTGTACAATCCTCAGTTTAGGGAGATGATGTTTGGGATGAATACGAAATTCAAAATGCAACACAGTACTAGAAAAGAACGTAGGGATCCTGGAACAGCGAAGGAAGTATTATTCATATCATCTTTAGCCCTCTACACAGGAAGTCCAAAGCTGGGAAAAATCTAGTCATGAAGTCACAAGGGCTTGTTCTAGTCATCATCTACAGCACTGGAACCAAAGGGCATGTATGGTGCATAATCTAAATAAAGATTAGACCAGATTGATCCTTGTATGAAATCTCTCTCATAGCTCTTTAAAGCTGCCAGGCTCAAAACTGCATGCCATTTCCGTACATGGGGAAATGTAACAACACTTAAACACTTAAACTATTACTATAAAATTCCTCACACAGACTCACACTCTGTATATCTCATTATGCTTCTCTAGTTAATCAAGAGATTTTTTTTTTTACAAACACTTTTTTTTTTACAAAAATTTTACAAAAATTACACAAATTTTTAGTATTTCTGTATCTCCAATGTGTTCAGCCCTGCAGTATGTAAGCATAGTATCATTAAAAAAAATTCTTGAATTCCTCCCTACAATTGCTAAGTAGGTGTCCAGCTCCCTCTCTTCTTCCTTCCAACTGTACCAGAAAGCTTT